AGGCTTGTTTACTATTTAGAACGTCACCAAATACTTTTTCCCAGTGTATTTTGGATAAAACGATACGTTGACAAAATTTTATATTTTTGTCCAAAACCATTGACCAAGCCTTTTATAAAAAATGCGAATTTTTTGACACCTTTGTTTTTATTGTCCAGAAAGGTTTGTTTCCTATAGTCAACGTCGAAAATCGTTTTTCACGAGTTATTTCCACGATCTATTAGGAGGTTACAAGGGGTTACAGGGGGTTACAAAGGAATGTAGAAGCTTTTTTGTAACTAGAACGTTCCCAGATACTTTTTCTTGGTCTATTTTGCATGAAAATCAAAGTTGACTAAAACGATGGACAAACCCCCTTGGGAAAAATTCTAATTTTGCGTTTTTGATAAACAGATGTTTTTATGGTGTTTAAAGGCGTCTTTTTTATCTAGAACGTCAGGAAACAGTTTTTCTTGATCTGTTTTTGATAAACACAAAAGATAAAAAACTTCAACTTTTTGACCAAAATCATGGACTATCCCCTTTGGAAAAATGTTAATTTTGCGTTCTTTTTAAATCCGTGTTGATTTTGTTTAGAAAGGCTTGTTGACGAACAGAAACGTTACCAAATACTTTTTCTCGGTGTATTTTGCATAAAACGAAACGGTAAGAAAATTTCAAATGTTTGGCCAAAACCATGGACTAACTCCTTTGAAAACTGCGAATTTTATGGGTTTTTGAAACCGATGTTTTCATTGTTCAGAAAGGCTTGTTTTCTATAATCGTTTTTTCTCGATTTGTTTTCACGATCTATGATATGGGGATACAGGTGGTTACACGGGTTACAAGGGGTTACAGGGGGTTATAGGTGGTTACAAGGGGTTACAGGGGCTTAGAAAGGATTACAGAAAACTGGTTTTCTTAACTAGAACGCCTCCAGGTACTTTTTCGGTTTTTTTCTCAATGTGTTGATGACTCAATAATTCAGAAGATAATCTTGCTTCTTAAAAACTTTTTTTTTCCGAATTGAAGCCCTCTAATTATTTGGTAAAAGAAAAAAAGGAGTCAAGGAAAGCGAAAGAAGATGGGAGGAAAGAAAGGAAAAATGGAAGTCAAGACTGCTGAAATTTTGCTTTTTGCGCGTGCCCGATGTTAGGAAGCTAATATTTTGCATCTGGATCAGAAGACCGCGAAGTGTATGATCCGTAAACGGTGTGTGGGTACGATTAGGTTCTTTTTAGCCAGACAGATATTTAGAAATTACGCTACTAGCTTCAAAACGCTGCGTTTTTTGCCAAAATTCCCAGGATTGAATGGCTAAGTTTCGTATACACTAGGTTATCTTTTTTATGGCCAAAAGTTGGCCTTTGCCTCTGAACAATTCTTTCTGATGAAACACTTAAGAAAGTTACAGGGGGTTACAAAATGTTACAAGGGTTGCATGGGTTACAAGCTTACAGGGGGTTACAAGTTGTAACAGGTTGTTACAAGGAGTAACAGGTGGTTACAAGGAGTTACAGGGGTCTAGAAGGGATTACAAGAGGTTACAGGGGGTACAAGAGGTTTCAGGGGTTTGCAAAGGGTTACAGGGGCCTGTTCTGTTTTTACGATATAGAGATGACCTTCCGAATTGTGTCATGTATTCACAACCTAGAATGTATGCTGACGACACTAATATCACCTATGCGAACAATGATGTTGAAAAAATAGAGCGTTGTGTTAACATAGATTTAGGTAGAACTCGTATATGGCTTGCAGCGAACAAACTTACACTAAACACAACTAAGACAATTTCTGTTAAATGGGTCCAGGTTAAGACTGTCAACGCCAAAAAGGAATCCCATAATTGAAATTAACCAGCTTCCCATTAAATAAGTGTCGACTTTAAAATCCCTAGGTGTTCACATCGATGGAAATCTTTCTTGGGAGTTTCATATTAACGAAAACTCTAAGAAAATTGCTTCTGGCATAAGTGCGATTAAGCGTATTACGTATTTTCTCCCTTTTTAGATTCTTCTTAACGTATACAATTAACTGGTACAGCCACACTTTGATTACTGTAATGTAGTATGAGGAAATTGTTCTAATAACCTATCTTCTAAATTGCTGAATCGCGCCGCTCGCGTTCTAACTTTCTTTAATTATGACTGCGGTACTAGTGAATTGTTTCAAAATTTAGAGTGGTCGAAACTTGTCCATCAGCGCGTAGTTAGTAAAGCAATAATGATGCACAGCATTGTAAATAACACAGCTCTAGAATATCTGACTTTGCGTTTTTTTCGTCGCTGAGATTTGTAGTTATAACTTTAGAGAGAATGAATACAAGCTCGCTGGGGGTCACAAGAGGTTACAGGGGTTACAAGAGATATGTTACAGGGGGTTAGAGGGGGTTACAAGTTGTTAGAGGGGGTAATAAGGGGTTACAGGAGGTTACAAGAGATTGCAAGAGGTTAAAGGAGGGTTACAGGATTGACAGTTAATCAATTTTCTCGAAAATAAGTCCGAAGAGTGGCAATTACCATTTTTCTCCTAAACAATTATATCAATACACAATCAAGACAATAGGTTTTGAAAATTGATAAAATATTCACCTGTAGGAAAAAGGCATTGATCTTTTATCAAATTCTCTCAACTAATTTTGTAAGGAAATGTATGGAGATCAGGTTGCAGAATTTGTATGTGGATGTTGAGGTTAAGGAGAAATCCGCTATTAATCAGGATTATCCAGCCAGTCGTAAATTGTATAATACACGGATGTGATGGGTCGTAGTTAAACGTATCTTTCTGGACAGTTCTGACGTTTGGAAAGCGCCTTGGCTTTACGTTCTTGTCGGTAAAAGCAGCTTAAACGTTAATTCATATATTTGAAGGAAGTTTTCATCAAACTTTTTTTTATATTTTTTCCTTGACAGATAGCCGTTGAAACAATAGCTAATATCCGAACTGTTGTGTCTTTGGTGAAAGAGAAAACATTCTTTGACAAATACGCTCAGGCTTTATCGGCTCCATATAAGTGAGTAACTTTATTTAGTTTTCACGGTATTTTAAATTATATAGTCCTTTTTTAAACTTACCCGTAAGAGGTGATTATTTCAGGTTTATTTTTGTGGCTTTCTGCCTCTTTAGGCCAAAAGCCACTATGTTATCACGTTGAAAGAGTGAGTGATTGAGTGAGTGTAACAATAAAATCCGAGCGGCAGCCCACAACGAAGTCTGCCGCTTTCGATCCCATATTTCCCGATCTTAGCCTATTTTTTTCATAGACTGCCTTTTTTCTATAAAAGGATACAGATTTCCTTCCCTTCGCACATAATATCTAAGTAAGGTAATTAACGGGCCTTTATCTAAAATATATCGAACTAACACACCTTATGGCTGTAGCATTTTATTTTGTTTAACGCTGAATGAAAATGACAAGAAAACTTGCTGTTTCAGTAGGGAAGTACAATTTGGGGCGAGCAAACAGTAAAAAAAAGTCAGTTACTGGTTGGAGCAAGACTCGAAGCCACTTCCTTACGCATTTCTTTTATACTGTTCGCGGTAGTCTTACCTTAAAACGCGCTTTTTGTTTTGCAGGAAAGCTTTGAGAAACGCACAACTTGAAGGGATATCTTTCGGCATATCCGAAGCGTTTATGTTCCTCGCTAATGCGGTGGCATTCAAGTATGGAGGCTATCTTGTGGTAGAAGGAGAAATGACCTTCAATGAAATGATGAAGTAAGTTGTGTACTGAACATCTATTTTTTTTTTGTTACAACGTCCATGTTGTAATCGTGTGGTTATATTCTCGTGTATGTGTGCAGGCAATGAATGTAGTTCGTTATACTAAACTGTAAAACTCAGGGTGCGTTCGATTGGAAACACCGAGAAATCCGCCGTCAACGTGGATTTTAATTAAGAAACCCAACGCCAGGTGTCATGAGTTGCCTTTTTTACCTTTTTATTGAAAAAGATTACAAAAACTGCTCCAGTTAACTGGGGCCTATTTTGCTAATGAAGCGTGTGTGCATTCAAAATCGCTTTTGATGAGAACAGTTTTCCCGATTCCCTTACAAAAAAAAAAAAGAAAACAGAAGAAAAGGGAGGACGTATTTGTAGGTGTTAAATCCCTTTTTGTATATAACGTTTTATTATAAATTCAAAATTTATCTTGAACATTTCAAAATCTAAATCCAGAATTCCTCAGTTTCTGGTTTTGTGTCTTGCTCGCATGCCTTGATATTTGCTGTGACTGGTCATGACATAACACCAGGGGAAATACGAAATCACTAAGCGTGGGAATGAGCAATGTGATTGGTTTATCCCTCCGGTTCTGCTTCCAGTTCTAAAAATCTTCACGAGGACGACGGGGTCAGCAGCAGACTCGGAAGAAAAAACCAGAACCCTTCTGGATCTTCCGAATCCGAGTCCGTTGCGCTTTGATTCCACTTACGATTTCAATTTTTGATGTTCAATACGTCGTAAGCGCTCTTGCGACCCTACGTCCCCCAAGGGCTTAACGGCCTCATCATATGGTTTTGGTTGACCGGGCTGGTCCGGTTTCCGAGGTCTCGCGTTACCTCTTACTCCTTCGTAAATTTTTCGACATGTTCATATGAGAGGGCGGGCTGGCTCGGTTCCAGAGGTCTCGGTTTTTCTAACTGGGAACTCGGTAGGCAGCTGAAGCGGGCTGGAAAATTTTTCCTTATTAACCCTTTAGCCCGGTTACCGTGAAGAAAGCGGGATGAATTCTGCATCGTCTTGCTTTTCCTGCTGTATTTTCCACATCATAATTATTCCATTTGGCAACAGTGACACAGCTGTTAGAGTTGCCAAAGCTTTAATAGGCGCGAAAGTCATAACTTTGTGTTTTGCCATGTAGGCTGTGTCCCTCGAATTGTGCGCCACAACTCGTCTTCGGCCTTTCGAAAACCGGGCTGAAATTTCTCATACGAACCCAAGATAAAATTGCTCCCGGCAAACCGGCCAGCCCGGTCAACCGGGCTCATGTGAAGAGGACTTAAGTAACTCTAATTTTTGTCATTGTTAGAGTGGTTCTTGCCATCTTGGTCGGTGGTCTTGTGCTGGGCCAGATCAGCGCCTTCGCGCCAGACTACGTTAAAGCAAAGGTTGCAGCTGCTCGTCTCTTTAAAATCTTTGACCGCGAATCTTTAATTGACAGTTCCTCCGAAGATGGATTAAAACCGGTAAGAGTGTTTTTTTACTTTCGTTCTCAGAAAGTTGTGGAAAGGTCGGTCAATGTCTCTACACTCGCCCAGATAGTTATTCACCGACATATGAAGCGACTTGCTCAAGTAGTTTAAGGTTGGGAGAAATGGCTTTATCTGTGGAAAATAGTTTATTGGCTATAACGTCGGCACAGATTATATAGCTGAATCAATTTGGCACAGGTAAAGAACTCATCGCCCTTAAACAGATTGTTTACGTGATGTCACGTGACCATAATTAAACGTTAAGGCACAAGAAGTCCTGGAGATTTATTTTTTGGGAAAAAAAATCATTTTGTTCAAGGTGTCTTAGCAAGATAGATTGCCAGTCATTTATATGCTCCGAACACACATTTGACCCAGGCCGTAAACCCCTTGAGTGGTTCAAAAACCCGACTAGGAACCTTTTAGGTTTAACGTAGACTGGACTACTGCAACAAAATCTCTAACTAGTTCGTTTAGTTGGTTGGGTTCTAGACCTCAAAGCGGTAGGCCTTGGGTTCCATTCCTGGTGGGACTAACATTCAGGGTCTGAAAATCACTGCGGGGAATGTGCTGCCTTTCTTTCACATCTGATATTGGTTAGTCCTTCCAGTCTTCTCGGATAGGGACGAAACATCGTAGGCCCCGTCGCTCTGCAGTGTCACTGATTTGACTGCACTTGTACTACGCCAAAAAAAAAAACATATTAAGGACGTGACAATGGCGGACTGGACCTCTCCCCCGCCTATCCTCGTTGTGTTAGCCCAACCACTCTTGTGGTTTAAGTGTCCCAAATCTAAAATTAATCGAAGTCTAGATCTTAGTCTAAATGTAAATCTCAAGTCAAAATAACCTAAATATGAGTTTATTTTTCTTTTTATACTTGTAGAGCTCTATAACAGGCACCGTTCAGTTACGAGGAGTGCGTTTCCGTTATCCAACGCGTCAAGATGTTAAGGTGTTGCGTGGATTATCACTTTCTGTTCAAAAGGGGCAGAAGCTAGCTCTCGTTGGATCAAGTGGTTGCGGTAAAAGTACGGTGATCTCTCTCTTGGAGAGATTTTACGATGCATTGGAAGGAGAAGTGGTAGGTTTAAAGATGACGTTGCGACAATCAGAAGAATTTGATCTAAATGAGTCCTATTTCCCCTAAAAGTAAACTGAACGACTTAAGATACACATTTAGTTTCTAGTCCAACACTGTGTAAGGTATGTACGCGTGCACAATAACATCATGAGGTTGTCCCAAATTTTAGGTGGTCGAATTCGACGGATATAGACGGCCATCTTCACACCTTCCTTAAATCAGTCCCGTTTTTCCTGTTTACGATTTTATGTTCAAGTTCTCTTAGGAGAGGGGGGAAAAGTTTGGTTTCGTCAGTAGAAGTGGTAACCTGTAAATACATTCGCCACACATTGCTCTCCGTCGCTGGGATGTTTCGAAAGAGAGACCTACGCGGCGGCAGGGAGCGATACATGAGAGGCGGCTACAATCGTAGGCTACAGAATTGGCCAGTTGAACAACAGTTAAGTGACGTGTCAAGCACTGACGATATTTGTGCGATTAACAATTTGTGATATCCCGGTCTCGATTGACAGAAAATGAATTTCACATTTTGCAGGCAGGTAACTTTTTCGACCTGATTTGTCTTGATCTATAGGCAATCGATGGCAATGATGTTCGGTCGCTGAACATTCAGTGGTTGCGCTCACACATTGGTATCGTATCACAGGAGCCTGTTTTGTTTGGTTGCAGCATCGCTGACAACATCGCGTACGGAGACAACTCGCGTGAAGTGGGACGAGATGAAATAATAAAGGCAGCTGAGGCTGCCAACATACACAGCTTCATTAATTCCCTACCCAAGGTAATTTAGACTTTTACATTGATTAACGTTATGGGGATAACCACACGTTGAAAATATTGTACCTGACAAACTAGTTGAAAGGCGCTGGCAAAAGGAAACAGCAAAACACTTAACCAAAACGAAACGATAAAAAGAGGACAAAGATAGACGGGTTTTTGAACCGACGACCCTCAAGGAGCCGTTCGGATTTTAATAATACGGGCGACCAGAAAAGCCCACAATCCTAATCTCCCGGATGTAACTATTGCACATGCACGGCAAATATGTAGCCAACATTCGTTTGGACTTCATAACTAAAATGAATGGAATGCACAGAACGCAATCTGATCAGGCGCGTTTGAACCTTGTACCACTCGTATTCCGATCACGTGCGTTATGACCTTCTATCTAGTGAAACTGAAGCGAAGCACAGCGTTCGATCAAGAGCAGTTGTACTGATCTCGCCCCCGCCCCCGCCCCCTATCCTTTGGTTTTTACTAATATCGAACGTTCTCACATGACATCACGGTGGCCATATTGGTTTTCAAACAGTGAAACGGCGGCCATGTTGGTTTAATTGAAACAGGAGGAGGAATCATAGAATTCCCCGCGTGTATATATATAAGTAATTGAAAAAAAAGTAAGAAAATAAGAAAATAATTGTCTGTAGTAGGCGAAGTGTTCCCGATTTGATGAAACTAGGTGCGCACGGTGGTCTCGGGTAATTTTTCAGCAAGCGGGCAAGGTGGTGCTGGTTAATTAGCGTTTTCTTCTGTTCCACGCTGTACTACGAGTAAACCATGCGAAGATTTACAACTCAAAAGCCCGAAAATTTGGTGTTCAAAGGTGTTTAGTCAGCTTAATTACAACTCTAGCTAACTCCAATTTATTGTCTTCATGATATTTTCTAGTGATACATTTATGCAAGCTCGATTATATTATTGTAGTGGTCATTGTTGATCAGCTGGTTGACGTTTTTAAAGCAAACTACTATGTTATTAAACTAAAATACATTGGTGTTATACTGAAAGTTAAAATAGAACACTGTATGGTCGTAATACGTTGAAATTGTCCGATTTATAGATCATCAGATTGTAAGATCATTTACTTCACTGAAAAAGAAACAAGTCAAATTTAAAACATTCAACATATATTCAGTATATATTTACCAGAGAAAACTTCACAAACATGTTATCAAAAGTGGTGGTAACCGTAGTGAAAACTATTTCTAGTAAATATTTAGTGATCGTATTACTTGACTAGAAGGAGTTTGGTCTCAGCAGAATTTTAGTCTGAGCACGGGTTGTTTTTTGAAATGCAAGCCCCCTGTTTCATACTTCAGGACAGATCCTTCTTGTTTTCTGGGGCAGCCTGTCAGTACTCAAGATTCGCTTCTTTCCGCTTGCGAAGTCGTACGTTGAAACTTGTACTTAATCGAGTCTGTTAGGCATTTTTGGTAGGAACATCAACCTATCTCAGTGGACCTGTTACGTTTGTTTGTAGGGTTATGATACTCTGGTAGGAGACAAAGGAACTCTCATTTCAGGGGGGCAGAAACAGAGAATAGCCATTGCTAGAGCTCTGGTCCGAAATCCACAGATCCTACTTCTTGATGAAGCTACTTCTGCTCTGGATACAGAGAGTGAGAAGGTAAGAGCGAAGACCGTTGGCGGTTTCTATCTGTCTACAAGCAGTAAGTTCATCTCTATGTAACACGGATCCGTTTGGGTCCAGAGTGTCCGTCTTAGAGAGGTGTCGGTCGTAAGGCTGGTTTCCACAAGCGGCCCCGTCGATGTCGAAATGACTAACAGCGTAGTCACCAAATGCGCCTACAATCACCGTTTCGCTTTCTTCGTCCAGGCTGCGGTTTCATAAAATCACCGTTCATTTTTTTAGTGTGTCATGAAACAGGAACCAACTCGTATCTATGTTTTCAATGGCTGGAAATAGCAGTTAATGGTTACGTGAGTCATCCTTGTCATCATTCGAATGCCGCCGAGATCAACGGCCGATGCTCCGCCATTAGGTACTGCATTGTATTGTTCATTACAGTACGTTCGGTGCGTTACTGTGTTCGTAATGTGGTACTGGGCTCGTGATATGATAATACAATTAACAGGTTTGCTTTCCACATAACAGGTTGTCCAACAAGCACTGGACGCAGCAAGTGAGGGTCGCACAGCTATCATCATTGCTCATCGGCTATCCACCGTCCAAAATGCTGACGTCATAGCTGTCATTCATCACGGGCGCGTGATGGAGCAAGGCACGCACCAGGAACTGTTGGGCCGTAAAGGAATTTATCATGGCCTTGTTACATCGCAGATGCAAAACGTCAATAATTAATTCAAAGACTATATCCACCACTGTAGTTGGTGAAGTTGTTTTCTAAAAATTTCGTTTTCATGTCGTTTTATTCCTTGTGGTTTTATGTGAATTAAGTCAGATGTTGTCCGGCCATCTAGGAGTCAGGCATGCTACATGTATTTAGATGACCCGTGTAGTACTTCGATAATCCGTCTTAGTATATACTAAAACAGTGGATAGTGTTTTTCGCGCGCTCTGATTGGCTACTCAATAAGTGACTATCCTGCACTATCCACTGATTCACCTCCAGTTCCTAGCGAGCGACGCCAAACTCGCGTAAGTTGCGAGCAAAATGCCTTCCCGGTTTGNGCTATCATCATTGCTCATCGGCTATCCACCGTCCAAAATGCTGACGTCATAGCTGTCATTCATCACGGGCGCGTGATGGAGCAAGGCACGCACCAGGAACTGTTGGGCCGTAAAGGAATTTATCATGGCCTTGTTACATCGCAGATGCAAAACGTCAATAATTAATTCAAAGACTATATCCACCACTGTAGTTGGTGAAGTTGTTTTCTAAAAATTTCGTTTTCATGTCGTTTTATTCCTTGTGGTTTTATGTGAATTAAGTCAGATGTTGTCCGGCCATCTAGGAGTCAGGCATGCTACATGTATTTAGATGACCCGTGTAGTACTTCGATAATCCGTCTTAGTATATACTAAAACAGTGGATAGTGTTTTTCGCGCGCTCTGATTGGCTACTCAATAAGTGACTATCCTGCACTATCCACTGATTCACCTCCAGTTCCTAGCGAGCGACGCCAAACTCGCGTAAGTTGCGAGCAAAATGCCTTCCCGGTTTGCTGCCGTAACAAACAAAGAAATTTCACAACTAATCAAGCAAGCTGTTCCCGAAATACACGAAGAAGGTGACGAGGTTCGGGGTGGAAGTTTTAACAGGTAAAGCTTTGTCTTTTTGACTTGAATTTATCGATAAAATCGGCGAAAACGTTTTTTGTTTACAACTGCAAATTTAGCTTAAGTCTTGCGTTACTTTATTTAGTTGACTTGTTCATAAATAAGCTTAAAACTAAATTTAATAATCCTTTTTACAGAATGATTTTAAATACAAAAAGAATTCAGAACTCCTTTTGAGGAAATTTCCCCACAAGAGCTAAACAAATACCTTCAAAAGTTTTATTTACCGGCAAGAAAAAGCGACGACCGCGGCCGTTCGGTCATTGCGCGTCAAAATTGTAATCGTTGCAGGCAACAGGAAATGAGTTAAAAATCATCATTTTTGTGCTCAATTATCTCACTGTTTTAGTATATACTAAAACAATTATTCACCTCAGTGTCGGTGGCTAGTGGTGGTATATTTACCTCGCCGCTAACGCGGCCTCAGTAAAAATTAACCACTAGCCACCTCCACTTCGATTAATAATTGTTATCTAACCTTACCAAAAACGGCGATCAATACCGATCCTTTCTCTACACTAGTAGAGTCTTTGGTAAGAATAAATTAGCTATTGTTTTGAGATCAAATTAATTTTTGAACCTCGTGACTCCATAATAGTAAATTATTATTCCCCCGGAAAATTTTCTATTACTTATTATTAGCTGCTCGTCTTTTTTGATTTGATTTGATTTGATTTTTTTCTGGTAAAGAGTTATTCTAATGACTACTTGATAATCAATGAGGTGATCATTGCTACAGTATTACAGTTAGTCTGCTACACAGCCGTTTTTGGTGTCGTCACGCAACGGTCCTTAAAGCAATTAATCTTGATAATCTTGACCAGAAAAGCATAATCTCTATTTTATCGTCCAGTATACGGGGCTGTAATTTCTAACTATGTTATTGCTGACGTAGCATACCCTTCTTTAAACATGGGCAGTGAACAACAAACAGCTAAAAAACCATTTTGTTTAGCAGCGGTCGTTGGATTAATAATGGTAGTTGAACTGCGTGGAGTGCAGTTCGGCTAAAATTGTGATTTTGCAAAAATCAGTCAGTACCAATATTATATTGATCCAGTGTAGCCGGTTTGTTGAAAAGAGGCAGCTGACTATTGCGTTCCGTTGCGGGCAAAATTATACCGATGACAAAAACATGTTGAAAACAAAATACGTAAGTCGGAACTTGTAAAATACACCGAATGCAATAAAAAATATGAGTCGAACTTTGCAAAATATATGTTCACGAACGAAAAAAAAAATACTAAGGAAATGTCATGACTACAATTTGAAATTTGAGACGAAAAAAAATATGCGAGTCGAGTTGAAAAAAAAAAATGTTAGTCGAGTTCAGAAAATAACTTGAGTCGAGAAAGAGAGAACGCTGACCAGTTGTGTTATCAATCGATCTCTTCACCCAGGGGCACCCAACGACGGTTTCCTCCTAAACGCATTGAAAAGTCTTCTTAGGTTATCCAGAGTCCTTTTAGATCTCTAGAAATGCATTTTAAGCGGCGCTATAAAATTTGTATCGGTTCGTCCTAGGGGAACTTGAGGCTTTTCGAAATTAGAAGGGCTTCAGTGTTATTTTCCCGGAAATTTTAGAAGCAATTAAACGTTTTTACGAAAAAGAGAATTTTTCTTATTCCTCTCTTCATCACAGTTTTGAATCCGAAAATTTTACGTTTCCTTTTTCTACGAAAATAAGCATAACATAAGGAATAAAATATGAAAAATTAAACTTCAGAAAATCGTAGGGAATTTTTTAGATAAGCTTCGAAAATTATATCTGAATGGAACGCTCATCTAGAAGTTTTTAGCCGTATTCAAGCAATAGAAAATTCTAGGCGATATTTGCTTCTCCGAACAGATGTTTTACAGAGAACATTCGTTGGGTGCCCCTGTTCACTTCACCGAGACGAGGCTTCGATCCAAAGTAGCGCTTCAGTTGGCTACCAAAGATCACCAAATATTGCAGATTTTTTCTTCTCCCTTGCTAGACTTATCGAGGACTTGGAGAGGCAGCTTAGTTCAGCTTTATATGACAATTCAGAATTTCTATTTCGGCGCCTTGCCAAATACAAAAGGACACTTGCGACTCGGTCATCATGATTTGTGAGACTTGGGATGTTCAGAAATAGGGAAGTTCGCCCTTTCTACGTTAACTCTGACTGGAACCCACCGGCTCAACCATCAGTAGCCCTCGAGAGAAGTTAAATCACAACTCGCAGAGGTACAAATAACAAAGCCAAAACATAACTTGTCACGCAAGGACCGACAAGCATTAAAAGAATTACAGCAAAACACTGGCGCACGACATCGACATTAAGCGGACAAGGGAATCACTATAGTAAACGTGAACAAAACTGACAAAATAAGAGAAGGTCAAATACAAATCGACGACGAACATAACTACAAACCTCTCGTTGAACCAATGTTGAAAGAAACGCACAGCAAGGTCGTGCGCCTAATTAATTACGGATCTACACCGTGAAAAACAGAACGATGACATGACGAGAAAATGGCAAACACCCAATCCACCAAGAATACCAGAGTTATACACTCTAACAAAAATTCACAAACCAACCATACCAGTGAGACTAACAATCTTTGGGTGTGATTGTCCAACAGAAAGGAGGTAGGTAGGCTACAGTAAGAATAACAAATCTAGGCCGATAGTTGTTAAGGTCAGACTTAGAACCATACTTAAAAATTGGTGACATTTTAGCCATTTTCCAGTCAGAGGGGAAAATACCAGTCACTAACGATTGATTAAAGATGCCCGTTATAGAGGGCGCGACAACATCGACGGCAATCTTCAGAAGCCTGTTTGGAATTTTGTCAAGCCCAGTTGCCTTACTTACATCGATAGCCTTAAGTAATTTGATGACTTTTTGAACATTAATCCGTTGAAAAGAAAATACTCCGTCAACAGGATTAACATAGCCAAGTGGGTCAATTTCCGAACTAGGAATTTCTTGTGTTAGAGATTGGCCTATGTTTGTAAAATGACTATTAAATGCCGATTAATCGGCTCCTGATAGAGTGTTTTCACATGACGTCACGGCGGCCATATTGGTGTTCGAAAACAATGAAACAGCGGCCATGTTGCTGTTCCAAATCTTTCCCGTGGGAGTTGAATTCTTTTCGCACGTAAAAGCTCTCTTTTGTCCCAACAAATTTGCAAAGATGCTGGCCACGTGAGTGAAAACGCTCGATAGAAATTGCTATACATGGCTTGTAATTCACCGTAAAGCATTGCTGGCTGTAAACTCGTACGCTTCTGCCTTTTCTGCCGAAAGATGGCATAGGGTAAGAGACATCCGCTCAGCCACGTTATTTGCCGGGCAGAGGAGAGAGTACACCCCTAAAAGGGCCTTTGAAACATACAAGCCCCGGGGCTACATCATACATCGAACATCAGACATCGGACATAAGACATCTGATATTGGACATCGGACATCAGATATAGGACACCACAAATCGGACATCAGACAAAAGAAATCTGACATCAAATATCAGACATCAGACATCACAAATCGGACATTAGACATTGGACATCAGACGTCAGGCATTAGAAATGAGACCGACATCAGACATCGGACATCAGACATCAAACATCAGACATCGGACATCGGACATCGGACATCATACATTAGACATCGGAGATCAGCAATTGGACATCACACATGAGACATCAGATATACAGTAAGACATCAGCCACCGGACATAAGACATCGGACATCAGAAATATGACATCCAGCATCGAACATCAGACATGAGACGTATAGTGAGACATCAGCCATCGGACTCAAGACATTGGACATCGTACAGCAGACATACAGCAAGACATCAGACGTCATACACCAGACATAGAAACATCAGAAATCAGACATCGGACATCAGAAATATGACATCGGGCATCCGACATCAGACATATGACATCAGCCAGTATCGGACATCAGACATGAGTCATACAGTAAGACATCAGCCATCGGACATAAGACATTGGAGATCGGATATCAGACAGTAAGACATCAGACGTCATACATCAGGCATGGAAACATCAGAAATCAGACATC